TTATATACTTGTTAAACCTAATGTGAAAATCAAATCAGGCAAATGGAAATTCGCATACTCTGAAAGTTTTGCTGTGGCGGGGGTATGTTCGGTTTGCAGCAGTAAACGTAAGTACTTAATAAGACATATGTTGACAATAGACGATGACCTAAGTGTAAAACTTACGTCTTGTTATAACCCTGGTTTGGTAAAAATTAAACAATTTAAAATTTACTTAGTCTGCAGGCTTTCTTTTTTGTAACTCAGTTAATTTACTAACGTAGTTTTTAAGTCGCCCATTTTATATTTATGTTTAGAAACTCGTTGTTCAAAAAGCTTGCTTTAATCGTGCTGTAAACCCATTTATCGACATAAATAATTATCTACATAGGCCATACCAATGTTTCATCAAATGATATAGCCACAGGTGCCCTTCTTTACGCAACCATAGGATACCGCTTGCTCTATGCCGACAATCTATTTCTCCCAGTTATAAAATATAACTTATGAAGGTGACCATTTCTAATAGACAATTATCACCCTTGACTTTATTATCGTTTATCACTCTGCCAATTTCCCGCCGGTAATGATACAGTTGTGAATATCATAAATTGTCATACGGAATTGTTAATCAATTATATTGGTCGGAGAGGTGTAGCTGTCTAATTAAGTTGTAATATCTGATCATTTGTGATCAATAACTTCGTCCACAGCTGTCCTCAGGCAAGGTGTAGCAAGGCTTCGATCTCTTGATGAAGAAAAGAAGAATACCGGTCTATAAAACAATACACAATTACTAAAGCAATATATTTGGTAAGAATTACTTGTACATGCGTAAGCGTAAATGAGTTACTCTATTCCTTGTGATATAAAAGTTCACTTCCACCTTGAAACATGAATAATGATCAACGTCAAATATTGTAGAGTTTCCATCGAATATTCCACTTTAAATATTTTTAAGAGAATCCCATTATTTGATACAAATACCTAATTGAACAATTTTAGTGAACTCTTGGAGATGATAAATATAAAGGTCAATTTTAACATTTCATCACAAATAAATTACTTTGTCAATAAAGATTTTACTGTTAGGCATTTTTTTTACTGAAGCATATTCAATTCATTGTTTTACTCTTTAAACTTATTCTGCAGTTAATTCACGGAGAAAAGTAAAATGAAATTTAAATTCAGAGAAATAAGTCTGTAGAAATATTTTCATAAAACTAATTGGGTGGATTTCAGTGAATTTGCAACGATTTCCAAAGTCAATAGGGTTTCTCAGAGCTAAACATGGTCTTTCTTGTAGATATTTTTAGCAGATTACTTTAATTTTAATTGTTTTAGGTAAACTTTCTTGTTTTTTCTGGGCATAAGCAATACTTATAGAGAGTCAAACAGAAATCATGCATAAAATAAAATAAAAAATCTAAATGGCTTTTAATGGAAGGGGTGAAAGAGACACACAAAGAACATTACAAAGAATGTTCTTCTCGCTTTAAGACTATCCATTTGATGTTGTAAATAGGTTGATAGATCTGCAGACTAAGGTGGATATGTATATATCACTATACTCTACAAAATTAACACTATAAGCTAATGATGAGAGGGATTTTAACCCGGTACCTTAAACCAAAAGCCCCGCTTATACACCTCCCGTGGTCCACCAACATATAATACCCACACTAAGCCCCAAAACCCATCAATCGGTTTCATATCAATTCATTTTCAATGAAACATTTCTTCACAAAAAACCCTAACTTACAATCCACGTCCAAGCTTGTTAGATTGGAAAATACTTTCACAACCATATACAACTCGACGGGAAGGAAGAGTAAACATAATTACCCAGTATTGTACAGCCTAATAACAGATTAGGAATAAATCCATGATTATTTACGGATACCGCTACGCTCGCAGTGGGCGTTGTTAGGATTGTAAATCAACAATGAGTACAAGGCAGTAATAATAGCAGGGGGGTGGTTGCCCCCCCTGTTCGATTGAAGGGGAGGCTCACCTGTATCGACCTTACCTGCCCCCCCTTGCCTCCCCCCACAAACTAAACATTTAAATAGCCCTCTTGCTCTTTTACAACGTTGTGTGGCTTTTTCATGGTTGGAAAACTGTTCGTTGAATTTACGTTAGCTGTTGTTTTCCAGTATTGTGCCAATGCGATTGTATGCATGAGATGCATAAACGATCGTATGATTTGTCAATGGTTTTTGTTAATGGTTAATAACCTGCTTTGTAAATGAAGATTTTTTTGTTTTGGTTAAAGTAGATAGTGTGATTAAAATATGCTGACATCATGTATAATTTTTTTAGTATAATCATTTTGGTTCAATCAATTGGATGAATAAATTAAGTATTTTACGGTGCATTGGTTGTTGTATAATTTATTTATTCTAAATGCGTAGCAATTTTACTAAACTTTTACAACATTCTTTGTGATAGTATACTCAATAAATTAAGAAAGCAAATAGTAAAACAAGTAAATAAATAGATCCACTTTAAAATTACAGTATAATGGTACCTACACAACGATTCTAAATGGTGGGATCACGACATAATTTAACGGCTGCAATTTTTTACTCAATTGTCTTTGTGAGTTCGGGTGTTCTACTAACTAAGAGCTTTAATTAGATACCAAATTCGACCTATGCTATTTAAGATCTTTTTGACTCCTCGTGGGCCGTCCCCCTTAAAGGATAGAAAAGTAATAGTAGCTTAAAAGAGTAGACATTATTTATGGCATTTGAAATATCAAGTCTCATTACTATCGGTATATTGGTAAAAAAAAATATATTACGCAGTTCAGGGACTTTCCAACATTGCATAAAGTCGACTAATAATGGACTATGTAAACCAAAAACTCAACAAACGAAAATCACAAACTAAAATGCTGGCTAGAGCTTAAGATATACTTTGTTAAACTATCTTCACTCCCCAATGGATAGGTGGTTTCCAATCATGTAAATATAAGCGACAATGACAATTCTATTACCATGTCGCCATTGGATACCAGCATTGTCCTGCCGCCCATTCACACTCAGACCATCGAATGTGTCATACACTTGGCTTTCACTTGTCACGGAATGTGGGATGATAAGCGATAATGGCGGGGATCGGCATAGAACAATGAAGGGAACAGTGCATCTTTATATGCGTGGGTATTAGGTCACCTTAGTGAAGCTGTTGGGGAATAGTGTGTAAATGCGTTTAGGTGTTTGGCCGCGGGCCTCGTGGTTAGAGCGCGGGGTTTTGCTGTGGAGTTGAAGGTTCAAATCCTGAGAAACAATAATGAATCGTTGCTATGTGATAATGTAAGACACGATTATCCAAAATCTGCCCTAAGGTACACATACTCTCTATACTCAATAATGACCTCCATTAATAGCCATTTGATAGTAAATTTGGTTCAAAAGTTTTGATTAATTTGGCGTTTAGTGTCCAGTATTTTATAAGGAAAGGATCAACTTGTATGAATGCGATGGAGAATATTCATTTATGTTCAGTATCCTTACACCTAAATACCGGGTAATTGGTTTCTATAAACTAGTTGTAAAGCCTCGACCTATGTTTTATGTGTGGGTGGCCTGATTTAAAGCAACAACCTAGTCAAAATACCCCATGTAATCTGTCATTGTATCTTTAGTTGGTACATTACCTTGAAGTATTCCCTTTTATTTTAAAGTTACTTTCAGTATTAAAACGCAGTTTACGTCCCTGCAAATAAGCATTATGTTGCTTAACATAAATGTTAAGGTACGAAACTTAAAGAAAATCTTTTTGCAAACTAGTTCATATCACACCAACACCTAATCCTTGTAATTAAACAATTGTTACAAGGATTATAAAATTTGCTACAATAAATGTAAAAGCTGAGAATTTTTTAAAGTGCAAGAACTAACTGTGACACATCTTATTCATATGTATATACCTTAGACAGTTAGTTTTATTTACTGATTGAGAACGCGCATGAAAACCCCTCTCGTAATTTTCCTATTTTTAAGTCGGATTTTCGTTATTCGTTTTTCATGATATGGAAGATTAAAAGTAGGTCTACATAACAGTCGTTAAAACATGTGATCTTTGACAAGTGCAGTATGGTTGTTAAGTTGTACAAGAGATGATTCAATATTTATTTAGCGTTCTGTTGATAGCTCAGTTATCGAAATTAGCTACATTTTCTCCCATAATACCGGTTACAGCATTGACATGGGAAAAACTGCTATTTCGCAGTACAATTAAAATGAATTTGGTGTTTTTATTTTTAGGGCAGTAAAACAAATTATTGTGGGCCGGATTTTATGACGTTTTCGAATCATATTCTGCTAATCAATCAATCAATCAATCAATTATTGAGATGGGGACGCCACCTAGGTGCGTATTTTAACCCAAATATGAGTGAAGGATGAGTGTAGAATGGTGTGTGATGACCTGTGTAGCTTTGTTACTGACTAAGATCAGCGGTTTCATTAGTCAGGATCATTTATTTAAAGCCCAATGATCAGGAACAGCTGGGTCCAGTTTCGAACCATCAAAAAGCTATTCACTTTTCTCAGGATCGAACCGGCGACCTTTTGATTACTAGGCGAGCACTATAACCACTCAGCTACCCAGCCAGTATGCTTTTGGTTGTTTACTAATTGCCATTTACTAGTTTATTGAATCATACAATTACGGATGTAAACTTTTCAACATTTGAACTTTTACATTCGAAACATTTAGAATCAACCAATAACGTAAAACATGTAGGCCTACATTACGGCAGTGCATACACAAACATCATATCCCTTTACACGTAGTTTTTACAGTTATTACCCACTCAAATCCCTCGTTTTACGGGTTTCAGGGGTAAGATGACACATAGCCCACACAGACGCATATGGTCGGATTATAATTCGGCCAGATTATAGTTCCACTGATCCATATACAACTGGGCATTAGAGTTAGTTGCGCGGGTTGCCGCGCCGCGCCGCTGGGTTCGGCGCGCCGCGCCGTCAGCCAGTCGTGTACCCGCCACCGCGCCGAGTGTAGTGCGTCGTCGGGCTCCGTGTAGCCAGTGTTTATAAACTATAAATTCAGTGCGATTCGGAGTGGATTGGAAATTGGATTTTTAGTGTTGTGATTGGACTTTTTCAAGGTATGAGTACGTCTTTATTTTTATATTATAGAAGTAAGTGTTTTTAAAATTAGATCAATACATTTGAATAAATAATTTATGTAGTTATTTAAAATTAAATTCAACAATAAGAATAGATTTCGATAATAAAATAGTTATAATGGTTTTTAAACATTTTAAAGTTATATACTGTAATACCGGTACCGTACCTTGAATAAAATTAATCAATAATTAATAAATACAATGTACCGGTACCTACCATAAATTTTATCTTAAGATATTGTCGACGGGACAAATTAATTAATTACGGAAAAACTTGTTAAAATTTTGATAATAATATTGATTGATTTTATAATATTAACTCCCATTACCCGTATGAAATCACCATAGTAATTTCAAACTTATTTCTTATGGACAATGTATTTTCAATTATATAATAAATTTGTCACAAAGTAAGCATTTAGTTGACACATATAAATCAATTTTGTGATTTATTAAAAATTATTTACCTTAATCATAACGGCATTCTCGTGCATAAAATGTGTACTTTTATATATCTCTTTAACTTTGCATGATTAATATATTTTAAAACGTTGTTTAAATTTGTTAAACATGTAACATTTGATGCATACAACCTATTTTATCATTCAATTGTGATAGCATATCTGTTGTATTAGCCTATATTTAAGATATTTGGTTGGATAAAAATATTTTAGCGCTGCTTTAGACTTACGGGAACCGACCTTTTAATCTTCGGAAAATATATATTGTATACAAATTTGTTATGCCGATTTTACTCGACATATTATTTCTACCGAGCTTTTGAACTTAATTGCCACTTAATCTGAATTTTAACATTATTCATATGATTGTATTATTCTGCTGGATAATAGACGACCACTCTATCTAGTCTTTATATTATAGCTTACGATTCAGCCTACTCTCGATGTGATGGAACAGCGATGATAATTATAATAGTGTTTGATTTAATTGGAAATGCTGGAAAATATTTTAGTATTCCTGTAAGTTATTTTGAAGTCGTCACAATTATGAATATGAAATCAGCCTATAACAGAATATAACATTTAGATATATTTTATACACACACCTAAATACGATAAATATGATAAAAAAACTGCCTTTGAGTTTGCACTTACAAGTATAAATTGCTATACTTTGTTAAATGTTGGTAACTAACTATCCATCAAATCAATAGTTATTATATAATACGAAGGTGCATTGACTGTAAAAGAACTCTCCGTCAAATAAATGGAAAAATAAAATAAGTAAATACTGAAAATAAAGCATGAAAATAATACATAAAACATAAAGTTTAATTATAAAAATAAGCCAACTGCCCGACTAAAAAGTAGTTAGGAAAGCCAAAGAACTCTTTTTCGTAGTAAATTCTTCTGAAGACCACCTTCCAATAACTCTGTCTTTTGGTTGAATAAATCCAATGTAGAAACATTACAGTTAACCCATGCCTACAAATTACAAATAATAAATATGAATCCAATGGTAACAGTTTGAGTCTGTGTGGAAAATTAACAAAAGTAAAATGCCTTTCTATTATTAATACATCCCACTCAATAATTAATTTTCAAATAAATTCGAATTTATTTAGAATATGTCAACGAATACTTTCCAAAAGGCTTTATAATCTTGACACATCGACGCAGTAACCAGAAGTACGTGTCAAAAATATCGGAGTAAATTTGTTTCTAGGTAAAGTAATAGGTAAAAAGTAATGTTCTCTCCATCCGGGAGCCGATATCGGAAATTGGTTCCAGATATCGGTTTGTGATAGCGTCTCATCACCAATCGCGGAACAAGTTTTATTATCGGAACCGATATCCATGTTGCTGAGGAGGCTGATTGGAGCGGCCAGAAGTTGGAAATCGGTTACAATCGAATTATCCTTGATGCAGCTGACACAATTTAATGTACCATAGATACATATTGTTGAGTAAAATGTATTTTTGGTTGTATAATTATATTATATGTGTTAAATATTCAATTTAAGTCTTCCTTATTTCTTGTATGAAACACGTTAGTATTTAAAACGTATAAAGGTTAAGTAAAATGTGTTTATGTATGCAATAATTTAATCCTTTATTAACTTTTTAAACCGAACATTAGGTCATAGGTTACAAATTGTAAAATGTATTTGAGGGCTTAAATCTAACTAAATGTTTACGACCAAACTGACTGGACAACCTTTCGTAAACTAAAGCATTCGTTAAGTCACACGAACCATAAAAATGCTCATAACTAAGATAGTACAATCTTTGCAGTGCAATAGCTCAAAAAAGGTGACTGTAGTTAGTCTATCAAAATGGGTATCTACTTTACTACCCTAAGTCTATGGTTTAATAAACTAATGTGGACCAAAAAACTTAGTGTTTAAGAGGGAGGATAACATAAGTTGCATGATTAAGGGATATTTACAAAAAAATGTTTTTACATAATATTAATATTGGTTGTTTTGGAATTGATTGATACAAATTAGAGAGAAAATATAATTAGTTATACAGTTTAACGAGACACATTTTAGCAATACATGACTCATAGATTTTGTGTTTTTTTTTTTACCTTCGACACAACTATATAATACAAGTCCGAGATAGTTTTCCTCATCCCTTCAGGCTAGACCGTGGGGTTGCTTTATCACAGATTCTTTGGGATTAGAACCCGGGACCTCAGGGACCGAAGACCCGAGCGATACCACTAGGCCAGCTCGCTCACCCAGTCATAGTAAACGTCCTACTAAAGATTTATGATACAAAATGTATGCTATGCTATGTTAACTTTTAAAAAAATAATAGACGTAGGTTGAAACATAAAAAAAATAAAAATTATAACACAATTGGTTCAAACTTAGAATTTTAACAAGCCATAATTGGAATGTTGAAAATACGCTTTTCCTCAGAGAGAAAACATAATTAGCTAGTTAACATAAAACTGTTGAGTGTACACTCTTTGAAGTCCGCCTGTTTGTGAAATCTCTAATAAACAACTCTGGTTTATTGTTTGAAATTTTTGCGAAATATAAAGCAGCTCACAGCTTTGCATTGATATTTAACATTGGCTCATCAGTATAAACATTAATATAAGTATATTTTCTATGCTACAAAATGTATTTAATGCATAACAGTAAACAAGAATCATCATTGCAAAGTTATAAGAGTTTAATTTAATTTAATTTTTATCAAATAGCAGTTTCTGAACACAAAAATATTTGTTCATAAAACAATAATAAAAGTAAGATCTTACTATTATCAGATGTGTTTGCAACTATATAATTAGAATATATTAAGAATATACTCGCTAGGGATAAAAATAAAATTATGAACTTAAATAAATATTATTTATTGAAATTAATAACTGATAATTGCAGAATTGAATGAGGGTTATACGAAAAACGGCAGTAATGTGGAATTTAGGTTGGTAAAATGAAAATGTTATTTGTTAGCTGGGTAGTTGAGGGGCCGATATGCCTGTCCCTACAATATATATTACGTACAATATACAGGGCTAGTAAAAAGTCTGGAGACCCCCTGTTATTTTTTTAACGACCCATACTAGAAAAACCAAACTCGGCACACCTTTATGGAATGCTATGAAGTACTTTTTGGGCATAACCGCCACTTGGTGTAGATCCCCAAAATGCCGCATTTTGGGGAAAACTCAAAAAATTCAAACGGTAAGACCCATCGAGTGGCCCCTCTTTTTAAAGGTCCTGATTTTAAAAGAAAACTTAAAACTCAAACTAGAGGTCTCTCTCTCTATCTTTACTCCGTAAAATATGACAGTTAATTAAAATCTTTAGAAATCAGAATTGACTTACAATTAAAAATCTAAAGATTTCAATTGACTGCCATATTTTACTGGGTTAAGATAGAGACCTCTAGTTTGCGTTGTTAGTTTTATTTTATCACGACCTTCAAAGTGAGCGGTCTTAAGTGATGGGGCTTAAAATTGTAAAATTTTGAGTTTCCCCCAAAATCCCCCATTTGGGGATCTACACCAAGTGGCGGTTATGCCTAAAAAGTACTTCATAACATGCCATAAAGTTGTGCCGAGTTTAGTTTTTCTAGTGTGGACAGTTAAAAAATTAACAAGGGGTCTCCAGACTTTTTACTACCCCTGTATATATGTGTCAGCTGGTTCAATCATAACAAATATTAGATAAGTTGTTGCTAGGATTAAACTAGACAAGCTGGCATTGATCATAAGATGTTTTTTTTATAAAATAGTCTTGGCAAAAGAAACTAGTGATATTAATCAGTAACAAAGTTACACAAGGAATTTTCCTCATATTACTCTCAATTTTATACAGTATTCATATTTGTTTTTAAACACACCGAAGCTGCGTCTTCATCAAATACAAATTATATAAACGATCTTAATCATCACATTACAATTGTTTGATCACTATCACTGTGAAATCAAAACATTTTTTTCCATTTTTTCTTTACTCTTGGCTTGGTTTAATAAACGAAATATTTTTAAAAATGGCATCATTAGATAGTAAATAATAAATAGTAATCTAATACATGAAATTATAAACCAAAACTACTATCCATCCAACACCTCTTTCCGCAAAACAACATTCAGTACAACTTTAAACCTCGTAAAAACAAGATGCACAACCAAGACGACAAGAATTGAAACAAATTTTGAAAGTGGGGTAACAAAAAATGAATATTCTCAGAACAACAGTTACAAGGAAATAATTTGTACCCGGGACTTGAGACGGACGTAATCCTGTTAACCAAAGATGTCTTGGAGCAGGTTTTATTCAAGACCGCTGCTGAGATTTATGTTACTGCTGTAGTGAGACGAGCTTTCTTGAGTTGTGTTTTTGGATTTTCTCAGCCCTCAGACGTGTCTCGCCCTAGGCCGATCATTTTTTCCCTCCCTTTTCCCCAGTTCCACCTTTATTGAATAGGTGGTTCAGTGAACAGGTATTTTAATATTTTTTACTGTTAATTTCATGTTGGTGTGTTCACGTTGGA